GCTTTGAAAAAAAGTTAATATCTGATGCTCAAAAACCTACACTCTCCCAACTGAAAACTGCTAAAAAGTCACTTTTTTCTTCTCAAGTACACTTAATGTTAATTAATCTTTCCATTGCCTCAGTTCTTAAGATTAATTTATACTTTAAGGGTTTTAATAAAGTTCAGTTAAGGTTTAACTCAATTTAAAACTAGCTTCTGAACATATTAACTTAGCCACAAACCTATTTTAGTCAACTGATCATTAAATTATAAGTAATTCAGGTAAATTACAATTACTTTCTGTCATGCACATTTTTTAATAACAGGAGCATATACATTTTTTCACAATTTTGAGTATATCTCTAAGATTGTGTTTGATTCACAAAAAAAGAGACAAGCTTTTAAGTTCTGTTCAGTTAATACTACTAAACTAAAATCTTTCAGCGCAGTTTCTAACTGTAATGATGTCTATTCATTTCATCTCATTAATTCATTGCAACAACAAAAAGCCATCACTTTGAATTGTACTACTGTTATCTGTGTTATGCTCTATGCTACTTAAGTGAATAGACAGGTCAGTTGTGTGCCTGTAAAATATGCCTAAAACACAAAGAAAATATCTTACTACTTTATACTATGTAAGTATCAAGTTTCTATTTGCATAAACTTACAACTCTGGTGTTCATCTTGACTAGAAACAATAAAGTATGATGTAGAAATGTTGATTTTTTTTCAGATTGAGTACACTAAATATGGCATTTGTAAGACATCATCTCCCTCCCCCCACCCCCCTGCTATTTCTCTGCAGTGTTTCTCCAAGGGTAGTGGTACAACAAAAACAGCCCACCTCAGAACTGCCCAGCACCTTTCTAAAAAGGCAGACAGCGCAGTCCCATGGCTATTGATGCAAAGGGAAGGACTCCAGGGCCCTCAAATAAGTCTTATGAAAGATAATGGTCTAAAAACATTTTTCTATAGTCATTATCTTCAAAGTAAAACCACAAAGTGTTAAGGGAACTCAAGAATAATTTTTAATTTTCAAATTATACAAATTGCATTAAAAAATATAGAGTTAAGGCACTATCACAAATCAAGAAATAAAAGGTGCTTCTGACAGCAACTTCGATCTTGCTAGTGAAGGAGAACAACATGGGATGGGTATTATATGATAATGTAGGACAGAATGCTATAGTTAAGAACTTTTAAGCAAAACGAAATTACTTACTCCAAATTACTTATTCATGGAGTTTTTACAGTCAATGCGCATAAAAGTTAATATAAAGGTGAGTTAATAATATGCCTGGAAATTGAAAATGTATAAAAGAGTTTGGTACTTTTTAGCACTTAAAAAGACATCAATCTTCATGTATCAGAGCACAGGCACATTAATTAGGTAAAAGAAATCCCAGCGCCTTGCTTCAAAGACAAACTTCAGTGAGTTAGATCAAAAGGCCTTCTACTAGTAAAATACCTATTTGTTACTCTAACCAAAACATGAATAAACAAAAACCCCAAAACATCAGTCAATATCACCAGTCAATGGAACAAATGAATATTTTGCCAAAGTGAATAAATTAAATCTAATCATGAGGAAACAGCAAACAAACCCAAATTGAGAGACTTTGTACAAAATTCTGTACTGTTGAAAATGTCAGTCATCAAACATGAAGAAAAACCAAGGAAGTGCTCCAGGCTAAAAGAGATGACAACGAAATGTAATGCCTAAAGCTGCACTGGATGCTGCCCCAGCATAGGTATATGCCCTGAACACGCCGGCTGATGAGATCTGTGTATGGTCTGTAGTTTAGATAAAGGTATCCTAGCAACGGTCACTTCCTGATTTAGGTCTTTGTACTGTGGACATGTAAGAGAACATCCTTGCTCTTAGTAAATACGCACTGAAGTAATTAGGGATTAGTATTTCCAGCCTACTCTCAATCGGCTCACAAAATACTATGAATATACAGAGAGAATGCTACAACAAATGGACAAAATGTTAGCAAGCTGGAAATTCAAATGCAGACTTTTCAGTATTCTTGCAACTCTACTGTAAATTTGAAATTATTTAAAAGCAAAAAGTGATTAAAAAATAATTTTAAAAGCTGTTAATAGAAATAATCCAAAAATATCTAAAGTTTTTAGAATACATTTTTAAGGTTCCTATCTATAGGAACTATTTATCTCTAAGACATTTTGTACATGTAGACTAAAATTATGAACTGAATTTTCAAATCCATTTAATGTCTTTATACTAGAAATTACAAAATTGTGTTGGTCTTAGTTTTTCTTTATCAATGATGTTTAGTCCAGATCTATGTATATGTTAATGGGAAACATGTCTGCATTTTGCACATTCGTTCGAAAAATAATTTACATGTTCCTTTTTATATTTTCCCTTCAATATTGTGTCTTAATGATTGACTTCTCGGTTTCACATCTATAATTGTTTCAGAGTTTATTTGAAAGCAGTTTTAAGCCAGGATGTTATCTATTAGTTGTGCTCTGATAGGCTTATACACGAAGAACCCTGCAACATCAGATTACCAATGCACAATATTTTGTGAAAGACCAGAAAATTGTTTTGCAATGTTATTTCCTAACAAATCTAACCTAGTAATTGTGTCAGAGGTTTACTGTGTAAGGTGAAAAGATGACAGGAGGAAGATGTTAATTCTCTACAACAGTGCTTGGCACACAGTAGGCACAAAATAAATATTTGTTAGGGCAGGTGTGATTATTGCACGATTCTGTTATCACTTGCAATGTATCATCAGAAATGATGAGGTAGTGGCATAATAAATAGCTGCTTACAAATCTAAAGATGTGAACATAATGCTTCTGAGAATTAACAGATGCCAACTAACAAAAGCTTTTGGTGAAAATGGCTTTCCTATATAGTTTACTTTGGCATTCTTTTAACTACTAGGGATATTGCTGTATTAACATCAAATTAAGACCATGAAAAGTAAAAAAAAAAAAAAGCCTATTGTACATACTGTATAATGTATCAAGCTCTAAAGCTTTGAAAAATTAAAAATGACAATTTTATAGAATGTCACCAAATATAATTCAGAGTTGTTAGCATCAAAATTCCTTGATATACGTTCTTCTGATGATACATTGTGAGTGATAACAGAATTGTGCAATAATCCTCCCACCCTGCGCTAACAAATATTTATTTTGTGCCTGCTGTGTGCCAAGCACTGTTGTAGGGAATTAACATCTTCCTCCTATCATCTTTTCACCTTACACAGTAAACCTCTGACACAATTACTAGGTTAGATTTGTTAGGAAATAACATTGCAAAACAACTTTCTGTGCTTTAACAAAATACTGTGCCAGGATGATTTGATTCAAGCCCTGACTCACCCACTGGGAGGAATGTTAAGGTGATTTGGAGAGAAATCCCAAAGATGCAGGCACAGGAAACAAGTGCAAAGAAAATTCAAATCCCTTTTCTTTTTAGAATCACACTATCATTTAAGCACCTTATTTTCTACACAAGGGACAGTTTAGGATAGTTGACAGCTGCTTGAAGAGAGTCCAAGTTGAATCAATGCAAATTTTAGGAATAGGATTTAAAATATTTTTCATGAGACAGGCATCTAGCAAGATAAACAATTGAACTTCTTATATTGATGTTACCAAAGGGAAAAACTCCCTGAAAATTTCTTCCACAGAAAAATTCAAGAAGAAAATGGATCAGTGTAAAAGCAGAATGAGCATCAGCATTCTGAGAATTAGTAACCTAGTATCTATTGCTCATTAAAACATTCAGCTGCAGAGAAATATTAGAATGTAATGTAATAAAAGAAATAGCACCTTTGAAAAATCAGGTTATCTAAAATGAAAGGTTGCAAAAAACTATTCTGAACTACAAATCTCTGCGTGAAAAAGTCTGAAAAGGAGGTGGTATCACAAACAAGCAATTTTGAAAAGTGTAATGCTATGTGTTGACTGCCAATGCAAATACAGAATATATGAAGCCAAAATACCCCTGTGTATCTATAGTAGACAAAAAGTTCCTTGTCTTTAAAAGTTACATATTTAATATTCTAAAAGGCAGAATACATTAATATTAGGGGGAGACATTTTTAAACTACTTACTTAAGAATTAAAGCAGTATTAAGCTAGCTTCAGTATATTTCTCTATTAAACATGTAGACAGAAGGTTTATTGTAAGACTTCTTGCTATTCAATAGAATCCAAGATAAAATGAGTCTGTTTCAGGTCTTGCCCCAAAACTTTTCATTACTATCATTTTTAGATATTTTTTTATTTTATTGTAGATAATTCCATGGTACAGAGCAGCCTTTCTCAGACTTCTGAACATAACATTATGATTAGATCCAATATTAGTTTTTTCAGAAGTAAGGCAAAGTATATAATTATAGTCTTTCTAGTGCCTTAAAATCCTACAGTTGAAAAGGTTGTCCTTGGGTGGTTAATTCAAATAAAAATAAACTTGCTTGGTGGTATAAGGATTTTCAATTGGCCTGCCCATACATTCTAAGAATATTCTCCATTGTGACATCTACTTGAATATTTGTTTTTTATACAGCCACTTTTTCTATCAAAAGTCTTATGATAGCAAATTATGTCCATGCTTCCAAAAATTGTTATTAATAAAAAATGCTGCATTAGGACTTGAAGAAATAGATATTGGATTCAGGAAATACCAATACATTATGAACAAGTTACTATAATTCTGTATTTACTTTCACTTATAAATATCACATAAATATCACTAGCAGGTACCATAATGTTCAATCATAAAACTAATTTTTAAATATTGATTTAAAAAGCTTTGAGCATATGTTGTCGAACTAAATAAGAGACCAACAAGATTTTTTTCCAGGTATACACCCAATTAATTTCTTAATGATCATAACCTATCCAGAAATTGGTAATAAACACTTACATAGTTCTTGTAGAAAATGGACCTGGCACAATGTAAAGACAAATATTGGCAAATGCATGTGTCTCAAGTTATATTTTAAGAAATGAAAACAATCCATGAATACTTCATGAAGCTATTTATTCTTGTTATTAAAACTTGGACACAAGTAATCCTGGTTTTTCTGGAAAGAGCACCTTGTTTGTAGGGATCATTTAATCATCCTTTTCCACAATCACCTCCCCGTGAAGCACCTTTCTTCTTTGACGTAACATATGAAAATAGAGTTGTGGAAACACTTAATTGAAAAAAGAAAAAAGAAAGGTAAGCTCTTGTTGGAAATTATTTACACTTGAAACCTCTTAAATGTGGAAAACTTTAAGAGCAAGTACATCATATACCACTGCTACCCACCCTATTTACAGAGCTCAGGGTAAGGTTATACTAATACTATAAAACATTAGGGTTTTTGTTTTTTTTTAGCAAACTTAAATGTCTTGATTCATGTACATAATGAACTGAAAGGCTATGTCTGAATTTAGAATTCTGTAACTCTTTGGAATACGGTGCCAGCATGCTTCAGTACAAGGAAAGCTGCCCTTCTCTCCAGTCCACTGGTGTCCTGTACTGAACAGTCTGGTGAACACGTGTGGCTATCCAAGCCTACATAACCCAGCTTCATCTGTGCCCCTCACAAATAGCTGCCCCTGGGCTACCCTTGATCTCAGATATGTGTACACTGCTAACGTGGTTTAACCATCAGGAAAATACACTGGGGAAGAGGCCTGTGCAGTCCCTAGATGCATACTCAGAGCCATTAAGGTAGCACATTTCATGGTCCCAGGTTTCCAGAATGTGACATAGATAGGCAGGGGTGCCAGTTTTCTACACCTGAAAACACAGTCCAAAGTTACTGGTTCGATGGTTTTGATCCATGATGTTAGATCCTGGGTTTCCGTGGAGATGCCTCAGTGGTTGCAAGGAAGAGGGGAACCCAGTACTTGAACCTGCAACTGCGACATGACGGACACTGAAGCAAGGTCTGGCTCTGCTCATAGTGTGCTGCCATTCACTAGATGCTGGGGAGGGCAAGGGGGTGTAAACAAGTGTGGTAGGTAATGCCACTCCTTAGCTCCTGAACTAGCTTTCAGCTGTGGTGGATAATCTGATAAGAGTCAGGCTGAAATGACAGAAGATCAGGGGAATAAAAAAACTGTCCAACCATCAAGTAAATTTCTATTTCAGAAAAGCTTAGAAGCTGCAGGGCCTAAGCAGCTAGCCAAGGGTTACACTCACACCCATTAGAGGAAACATTTTATAGCCTGTCAATATAGATTTTAGATTGTATAAACTTTTCTCACTTCCTTTTTTCTCCCACTCACATCAGCCTCACTAATTTTATTGAGAAAAGTAAATAAATAAGGTCCGCTTTTACTTAATTCCTGTTACTATCAAAGTTTGACCTAAAATATGCCATGATTAGTATTTAAATAAGTAAAGCCTCATCAATTCATTCCAACTATTAAAAGGTGATGAGAAATTAGTGAAGAGGCTGAATTACTCAAAATAATTTTAAAAAAAGCAGCTTCATTATTTTTTAGTGCATAAAGCAACACACAGAAGGCTAAAAAGCACTCCTACATGATTTTTCAAAGTATAGATTTAAAGGATAGAAATGACCTAAAATTTTCTTGGATAAAATGTTGCTATTCAGATGCATAATTCTAAATGCCTGCCAATAGTTCAATGATTTATGCTTTATCTCTTCTTTAAAAAACAAACCATACTAACCTCATTTTAAAATGATTTTGAGAAGGCAACTATTCACATATTAACATTACATTTTTCTTAACTGGGAGAAAGTTTTTGACTCACTTGCTCTTCACTTATTTCAAATTATGAATACATGTGGACTGAGGTTTTGGTATACTTGTAAGCCATTATTTCTCATTTCTAAACTAGTGCATTATGATTTTTCCCCCAAAATGTTCGTTGCATATACTAAATCAAAGTACTAATAAATATATACTTACATGGTATATATGAGGCCATGGTTATTAGGAGAAAATAATAGTAGTCAAAAGAGACATTGTATTTATTAGGAAGTCTTATTGAAAACATTCCTGATTTTTTCACATATGGTAAGGCAGCATATATCGTAAGAAGTTCACCAGCAACTCCAACAGGATACAAGATGATAAAAAAATTGTATCTGGAAAAACAAACACCAAAAAAACCTCAGAGAATTATAACTGGATTCTGTAACATTGATCTCTTGTTAGTATTGTATTTTAACTTAAAAATTCATCTTCTCATACCTATTTATAATAACCTCACATAAGGTTATTTTCCTACTTTAATAATTTGCTTATTAATCATAATCCTTTTTTCTCATGGTAGTTTCCATTTTAAATGGCAGGATCTTAGTAAGTCCACTTATTTTACAGTACTGAAATAATTATATACATTTGAAAAATGTATATGCAGACTTTAAAGTATTTTCAAGTATGTAAGTATTATAAATACTATATTGTAAAGTATATGTAAGTATTGTAAGGTATTGTAAAGGTAACTCCTTTGACACCTGGATTCATAACTGACTGATCCCTGTAGCTCATTTATTGATCCAATATGGCATTTTAAAAGACCAGTTATGATCCTGATTTTATCTCTAAACCTTGAAATTACAAAAGTCGTTCTCTGGAAGTGTTTGGAAAACTTTTTTGTGGTTAGTAATTTAAAAAAATTACTTTAGAGAACTGTAATACCACTTAAAACAGCAGTACTATTAATGAATATATTGTTTGAAACTGCTTTCATAGCAAAACAGGTAAGACAAGTTGTTTCCTGAATTCCCACTGTAAAGTAAGTTAGCTTGCTTAAAACACATCTGAAAACGTTTCTGTTCAAAATCCAAAATCACAATGTGTTCCTTTGGATTGTGGCAGGTTCTCTAACATCATTTCTGCCTATAGCTAGAAGCACACTCTTAAGTCCATGGGTCTCCAGCAGGAAGAGCCTCAAGGACCCAAAGCAATGACATTTCTCTATTAAAGAAAATGATCTTCCTCTGAGTTAGTCACTATGTAACAGTTCACACGGAAAATGAAGGTAAAAATTTTGGTGGAAAAGGAAAGAAATCAAATTAACCCATAATTTATTTAACAATTTTGTTGGCATAAGAAATATTTATAAGGGAAAGTGAACTTTTCAATATGGCAGAAGCTTGGGACAACTTAAAAATCATCTTATTCCTATATGCCAGAGATATACAAGGATAAGAGATGGTGGAGGGGGACAGAAATATCTGCCAAAAATAGATTAACTAGTAATTGCTTTCTTACCGTTCTTACTGCAGTTATTTGTCTATCATTTAAATCAATCCTTTCCAACCTCAATTTCCTATCTCAATTTGAGATCACATAACTGAACATTTTATATTTCTCTCTCAAGTATAACATTCACACTTATTTAAGTGATATTTTTAACTTATGTGACTCTCAAATGATTTTTTGGTAGCATTGTTTTTTAGTAGAAAAAAGTATATCACTCCTAGAATAAACTAGTATACTACCTTAAAAATGGTGATTATTTTTAATGAAATGGGAATAAATTATACAATTTATTTTACTTTATTTGCACTTTAAAAAAGATTGAATGTCACCAACTCTGTTTTAATGGCAGCATGAGAGATTTTACTATTATTCAGAAAAAGATATAATGCTTCCTTAAGGATTCCTAATAATTTTCATCTAAAAGCTTTTTGAAGGGAATGCATTTTAGAAATAAAAATGGAAATCAGTATGAAAACATAACAATAAACAATTGTCTACTCAATTGACTTCTCTAGGAATATGTCTAACACATAAATAGAATCAAAGTACATTCAAACTGTCACAGTAAGCCAACTATATGTAAGCCATTTCTAAAGTGAAATTCTGAGAGCAACAGCTCCAACATTTGAACATAAATCAAATATTATTTTAAGTTATTTAATGGGGTTGGCAAATATATATAGACAATCAGGATCTTTAAGGTTTTTTATGTGAAATATAATTATTCATAAGAAATCATAATTAACTGATATGATGTATTATGCTAACATGTGCATTTCAAAATTGAAAGATTTTTACAGTACCTTTTTAACATTAAGGCTATTGAGAAAGCATTTCAAAACAACAAATTTAAACATGCAATGGCAGTTTTGAACTTTTCCAGAAATTCAAGACATGCAAATGCAGTCCAAAAGGCAGACAAATCTATTATCTTACCACAAACAGATTTTATAAATACAACAAATGAGAAAGGACTGTATCAGTGAATTCGTACTTTTTAAGGTGATAGAAGTCTGGAAGACTGAGATCATGCAAAATGGCATTGAGATGCATTCTGGGATTAGAATCAAGCTACATTCCAAACTACCAACTTTGTGAAAGGCCCCATAGATAAAATTCAAAAAGTTTTCAGGTACTGTAAGAATAAAACCAACCAAACTCATACAAATAGCAGTGCAGCTTCTTATGACAATGTGTTCAAATTGAAATTAAAATTTTAAAGCATTTTATTGTATACAAAATATCTAAAAAGGATGTAGAGAATATTAAAGTCTGAAAAACTAGATAATACAATTAACAGTGATTATCTTTGTGTAAGTAATTGTGCAAGCAATTAACTATTTTTTCTTCTTTTTGGCTTATTTATATATTCTAATTTATTGTATTTGAACATGTACAATATATGAGTTATAAAAAAGGAGTAATCACTTAAGACAAAGTGTTAGGCTTTTACTATATAGGGATCAAGGACAAATTTGACACTCGTTATGGATTATCTTCAAACAAGTTAGGATATATTAATATACACATCAGAATTTTAAAAAATAACAGAAACATGGGTATAGCATTGCTTATAATATCTCAAAGAAGAATTTATAATATTAGAAAACTGGAAATGATATTAATTCTAGCAACAGAGACCTGGGTCAGTCATACTAGAAAATACTGTGCAACATTCAGTGTTAAAGACTAGATGCAAATGTGCCTGTACAGATTAAAAAAAACAAAAGACCTCCAAGATAAGATAAACAAATATAACGTCATCCTATTTGTTTTCATAAGCTCATATTTGTGTGTTCACGTTTGTTAATACAAAAACATTTGAATGGGTAAACTCCAAACTTTTTCTCTCTCCAGAGGAGGTGGGAAGGATGGAGGATAAAAAGGAACTTTTTTATGTACTTCTGTACTGTTTGAATTTTTTACATTGAGAACATTATTACTTCCATAATTTAACAAAAAATGTAAAGGATGAAAATACTGTTGAATCCTTTTATTCTGCCTATGTGGGATGGACGTAAGTGGGATAGACATTCCTACTCCAGCTGTCCCCTTGCACTTCTCACCACCTGGCTTTTCACATACCCATGAGTTGTTTTGTTTTTTGTCTCGTCTGTCTTAAGAGGACAGACATTTTATTGTATTCCTACCTGCACCTCAGGTATGCAGCAGGTGCACAGCAACTACAAATGGTGAATGAAATGAACAAATCTACGTTGGCTTGTGATTTGTTTTCCAAAGAGCAGTCTTGTTTTTATAGTAACTTTGTAAAGTATCAGCTGCTCAGAGAATTCAAACTTTAAAAATAACAACATATTTTGCTTTAAAATTTGTTGCTTCAGGATAAATATGTTGAGAACCATTGAGATAGAAATTTTGTTTACATTCTAAATAACAATTTCAAATAACAGTGGCTTTAAAATGTTTGCTTCTACTTTTAAAACATACCAAAAATGTTGACATTGTTTATATAAGATACTAAAAATTGTGGATAGTAGGTTCACTATTAAAGTAATTTAAATCAACAGAGAAATGCCACATTTTGGAAATACATTTAATTTCAAAAGTATTTATTTTGGTTTCAAAGAAAAATGAACCACCAATTCACAAGTTATTTAAGGATACTAATATGTCTTGATTGATTTTACTCAAAAATGTATTAATGATTTCATTTCTGATTTAATTAAGCTTTTAGAATGTAAATTATAGTACCGCTGGTCCAAAATAGCATCCTGGCATCACGGGGCTAAGACAAAAATTTTAATTCTCTGGTGTTAGCTCAGCACACAAAATGCTCATGCACAGAACTGTGAGAAACTAAACTGGAAGACATCACCACCTGGCCCATTTAATGAAGTATGGCAAGTGGTTGAGAAGATTGAATGTGTAGAAGGAATAGCGAGTGATCTCTGTCACAGTCCACGCGACCAGAAAAAGCACCACACTCTCCTCATTCTGGATCTGCAGAATTAGAGAAATCCACAGTGTGTTTAACCTTGAATTCTTTTCTCCATGAAGACATTTTATTTTAATTATTTACAAGGGATCTTTTATTATAATGAAATGTTAAGGTTACATAGATACAATACAGAAATTACAGAAAACTTAATGAAGTCACCATTACATAATTCACTAAGCACACACAACTTAAGTATGTCCTAAGTGCTGGAATGGTCCAATTTCTACTGGTTTCTCTCTCTCACCTTTCACTCTAGCCAGTAACGTAAGCATCCAGGCAACGTCACCCTGTCAAAACCAGCATGGGAATTATCTGACTCCCCAACTTTCATTAGTGATCAAATCTACCCATTCTTCAGTAACACTAACTCCTGAATCTACCCTGTTGCCTTTAGTCCTGCTACCACTATTTTAATTTAGGGCCTTATCTTCCCTCACCCAGACTATACTGTTAACAGCCTCCTAAATAGTCTTTCCATTCTCATTGTCTTTAAAGATGGAAGTTTTTCCTTAAAAGAAAAACAAAGAAGCAAACAAATAAAAACCAAATTAGATGCAGCTAGTCTTGTGATTTAAAAGCCTCACTGGTTTCCCACTGCTTAACAGGAGAGAAGGATAAAATCCTACCACCTAACATGATGTTCAAGGTTCTTTACAATCTTTGCTCAGAAATCAAACCAACTTCATCTGCGATCATTCCGTCCCCCACCCCTGCCCAACCAACATCACCTCTCTCTGGTGATACTAACTCTGTATTATTTCCAGAATATGCTCTGAACATTTGCCTGTTAACACATGCCATTACATCTAACTAGAATGCTGCCCCCTTATTACTTTCCATAGAAAACACTTTCTCATCTTTTAAGATCCAGTTCAAACATCACATCCTCTAGGAACTTTTCCCTAACTCTTCCCCTTCCCATGAGCTGTTATTTGTTTATCTTCTTTGTTCTCTAAGCATTGTTCAATTCTCTATTATAACACTTGCTAACTCCTATTAAAATCTGTCTGCCTAACTCTTGTGTATCTATCAGTGCTCAACTTATACATGCCTTCCTCAGGGAAGTCTTCCTTCACTTCCTAGGTCAGGCAAAGTCCCCAGATACTTGCAGTGCATATTGGTCTTGTTTCAAAGCATTAACACTAACATAATGAAACAATTATTTGTGCAACTGCCTGTTTAGCATCATTCCCAATTATACACTACACAAAGTGGGAACCATATCTGTATTAAGAGCTAGATCCCCAGCACGATGTTGGGCAGAGAATACGTACTTTGTTGAATGATTCAACATCCATATGACTGTGCCCCTGACTCCCCAATAGTCAGTACGTAACACAGGTAAGAATGACTTCTTTTTGCAAATCCAGAAATTAGCACAGTGCCAGGTTTATAGAATGCACCCAATAAATGTTGGCTGAATAAATTAAAGAGTGGTGGGAAGGTGCCAGTGGAGAACTATTGTTAGAGAAAATGAAAGAGTAACAGGAAGGCAGAGATCCTCTGGGGATAAAAGAGCAGATGGACGCTTTTTCTCTGTGGACAAGCCACCCTTTAGCTTCTCTTCTTCAGTTAATGTTGGTCACCCTGTCTTGTCTTCCTTCTTCTTCTTCAGTCTTCAGATTCTTTGTGGTCCTGGCCCAGCTACTATGTTCATTCACTGTCTGGAATAGTTTCTCTTTTATTCTGTTAATGTTGGATGGTTTTTAAACCGTGGGGCAATCTGAATAAAAAGTATGGTTTCCTGCATGGCATGCACTCACTGCTCTCCATATGGCAGCTGCTATTTAAGGACCAGGTGGATCGAGTAAGTTGAGTAAAAAGTACTGATCAAGAAGGCTAAAGTGTAGAGTATTAATTAAGAGGGCAGAAGGTCAGAGATCTGCCTCCATGCAGACAGGAGGCAAGTAAGTCCAGAAGGCAATGGAAGGGAGGTTAGGTATCATCCCAGGCAGAGAGGAGACAAGAAAGGCATCTGAGGAATGGAAATGAGGCCAGAGATCTGTCCTCAAGTAGACAGGGTACTCCAAAGGCTGTCAGAGAAGGTCAGAAGGGCCCATCTGGAAAATGATTCTGTTATGGGTTAAAAAGCCCAATGTCCTGACATAGTAAGCATGGTGCATGTTTGTCTAAGTGGATTTAAGACATCAATTAGATTCGGGTCCATCTCCTGTCATGCCTCAATAAGTGATACGCTTATTTTCCCTAAGATCCTCCTCCCTTGTAACTTTCATTTAGTCTTTTCCATTTGTTCAGATCTACAGAACTACATTTGCTACAACATTCAACAGTAAATAAGGAAAAATAAACTCTTTATACTCACGATTTCAATTATGTAATCAAAGGGAATACACAGGAGAAAACATTTTAACTATTTGGCAGAATATGAAAATTAGTTTTAAAATTGGAAAACAATGCAGGAGAAGCATATTAGGATTATAAAATGCCAATATTCTGTTTTGCTTATGGTTTCCAAGTCATTCTGCTAATGCACTAAGTCAATGTATAATCAACCATACTTAAATCCCAACCCAACCCATTTATACAATGATTCTGCTTCCTGAAATATACCAATGTTAATATTTAAGATTCCTATTAATAAAAAAAGCTTTCCTGCAGACTCAAGTAGACAACATGTTCATGTCACTTACTGGTTTTATACTGTGAGTAATGAGCCACACCATAAAGATTCTTGAACTCACTTGGACCCCAGCCACAAGCACAGAAGTAGGTACAATTCCTTAAAGAGAAAAACAAGTCAACCATTGCCCAAAGGCAATTTATACCAAAAATAAAAACTATATGAAAAACTTACCAATTAAACAGTGGACTATCTGCAAGCAAATAAAAAAAACTGTTAAGTCAATAGCATACAACATAAAATAAATCCCTGTCAATGGCATTTTCAACAAATCCTAGGTAGTATGTAATCAGCAAAGTAAGATTGATTGTGCTCAACAAATAAACTTTCAAATAAAAATTATGATAGAAAAACAGCATTACTGAAAACTTACCTCAAGCAAGGCAAATGTCTGGAAAAATTTAAGTGTCTTCTGAATGCTTTTATATAAACCTTTGTGTGTTCCTTTTTCCATATAAAAACGTACCATGGCAATAGCTAGAACCAGCCACCTACAGAAATAAGAGTATTTTATAAAGTTCTATCAAAGTGAGTATCACTGATCTTCCTGAAAGGAAATGCCCTAATCTATATAGTAATATGCATGCTTTATTATGCTCTCAGTTAATTATTCTATTTTAAAAACATTTATTTTTATACTGATGCTTCATTGGGATGAATAGAACATATTCCAGACCAACTACATACAAATGTCAAACAATGTCCATTGTATTTTTGGTTTCAGCAGATGAAACTGACAGACTGAAGAAATTAGTTTATTATAAGGCATTTAATAATTACATATTTAATAACTATATAATTGAAACATTAAATACAAATGTTAATATGTAAATACTAATAGTGAAAAAATATAATTACATAAGACTTTCTTAAAGTAAAAATATGTACTTTATACACTATATAAATACAGTATGTTATTTTAAGTAAAAATCTTTAGTAAGAATGCTTTTTAAAGTTTTTAAATAAATAATAACAATTGTGCCACAGAGGCATACATATAGGTAAGACATGGGTCTGCTTTCAAAGAGTTTGTTTAAAAAAAAAATCCATATGCCCTCAATGCAAAAATCCATTTGCACATTAAATAGATTCTCTGCTGCGAATTCATGGTACTTAAAACACAAGCTGTCTTGGTAGAGACCAACTTTCTTACCCTATACTCCATATCCCAGAGTTACTGATAAGAGGTCATTTTTTTTCCTGGTTTCCCTCACAATTACAAAAGCACTTAAAAGTTTAAAAAGTTGTACCACCTGTAAATATTTAATAATACACCTATGGAAATGAGTAGTTACCCCAGGCTCTTAAATCAGTGGTCTTCAAAGTATCTAGTTAAGCAGATTTATAGATTGTAAAATTATTATATTTTTTTAAAATAGAAGAACACTCATAAAATGGACAGATGGCTTAAAGATTCCTGCCAAGAAACTACTGATTGAATATTAGCAAAATGCAAGCTCAACAGAATAAGAAAATGGCAAAATGGGTACCTCTAGTCTGGGAACTTCTACCTCTCAGCATAATGAGGTTAAAGAAATTACTTTTTTAGAGATTTAACAAGTCAAATAAGTACCTGAAACTATCACAAAGACATATGAAATGTAACAATGTTAATGAGTACACTTTCTGAGTGCTCCCAAATGTTGTAGACAACATTCTAATGCATATTTAATATTTTAATATTTCACCCTCACAAAAACTCTATGAGGTAGGGATTATTATCCTACTTCACTGCTAAGGAAACAAGCAGAAAGGGTTACACAGCCAGTCAGCTGCCACGGAAAGCCACCACCGAGCTCAGTCTGTTCTCTTGTATCACTATGCAGTACTGGCCTGCTTCTAAGTATATACTGTGACTTTGGATACTAGCTAATCATAGCAATTTTTCTATTTAAATTGTAATTTTAAAAGTTATATGGAGTTATGCTCAAGAATTTTAGTGACAGTAATGTGCTATCAAAAAAGTTTGAAGGCCACTATTTCATATGAGACGATCACCATGTAAAGACATCAAGTGACTTAATGCTAAGTATTAGAGTAATTTATGGTCAAGTTTGAAATTGAAGCCCTGAGGTCTCCTAAGCCCTGGTGCTGTACCTTTTTTACTATTCTACAGCTTTACTGGATTTAACTGATGGATTTCCTCCCATATGGCAGCCAACTTTAATTCTGTGCTGAGCTAACTAAGATTGCTAATTTGGAGAATGTTTTAGGTAGCTTTTGGGTTTAAAATGTTATGATTTCATTATATTCAATTCCAAGACCCTATACCACTTCAAAAAGCTTAATGAGATGTTGTATTCACATTTTCCACACACATCTCTTTTTAAGGCAAATCCAAATCAGATTTTTACAAAAGATCAATTTGAGAGGTAGTTATTAACCTACTAAAGACTTCATCAAAAGATTCATTTAGATAGCAAGTTTTCTACGTTTTTCAATAGCATGATATAAAAATCCTTGCACTGTAACATTACAACAAATTTTCATGTTCCATAGGTGGTGGTAATGTCCTAACTAGAATAGTTTATAACACCAATCACTAACCAAGTTTAAATAAAAGAAATTAATATTCTGGGGTTAGACCACCAAACAATCTACTCTAACCTCTCATCTGTTTTCCAGTAAATACAGCCAGGAGCTAATCTAATCAGTGCTGACTTCCTAAGTGAGCTTCCCTTCTCATGAAATTTGTTTCTGGAAGATGCTGAGTGGTTTGTCTGGCATTTCCCTCAGCCTGGGTTTTGCCAGTTGGATATCCACATGTCGTTTAGTATGTTCTTCTGTTCCCTGTATTTCCTGTAAACTGACAGTCAATTCTCAGAGCTTGATCAGATAAGATTCACAGTGGAGACTAATTCATAGGCTGGGTGACAATTTCTCTAAGAAATACACAATTATTGGTTGTCCCTCTTGTTTGGGATGTTAGCCAGCATTGACGATTATTGCCCAGGTTCATTATGTCCGTAGTTATTGAAAAACAGTAATATCCTAATTTTATCATTTCTTCCTGACAATTCATGTAAAGCAACCATTTAGAGATTTGTACCAGAGATGGTCTTTGATGTTCACACTATCTCTACTTTCATTTGTTGCTTGTTGACACCTCTAAACTTCCTTTCCTAAACTAAGAACTTTGTTTAGCAGCCAAAATGTGTTTCAATTTATCGTATGTAGAAAATCATGCTGCTAAAGTTAAGCTGAAAGGCTCATAAGAGAAAAAAAAAAAAGAGTAACTGGACTTCATTAAAATTAAGACCTTCTGCTCTTTGAGAGACATTGTGAAGAGATGAGAAACAAGGCAAAACTAGAGGAAATATTTACAAATCATATATCTGATAGAGGATTTGTAGCCAGAGTATATAAACAACTCTTAGAATTTAATAACAGAAAATCAAACAACCCCATAAAAAAATGGGCAAAGGATATGAACAGACCTTATACCAAAAAAGATCTACAATTGGTGTAACACATGGAAAGATGTTCACTGTTCTTGGTCACTAGGTAAACGCAAATTAAAATCACAATGAGAGATGTACAATATACCTATGAGAATGTCCAAAATTATCATGACTGACCAAATCAAGTGCTGGTGAAAATGACCAATAGCTGGAACACACACTCATTGCCTGTGTGGATGTAAAACGGTGCAACCACTTTGGAAAACAGTTTGGCAGTTTCTTAAGAAATCAAGAATACATCCTGCCAGGTGACCTAGCCATCACACATGTATATATTTATCAAAGAAAAATGAAAGCAAGTATCTATGCAAAGACTTGTACATGAATACTCAAAGCTTTGTCACAGTCCCAAACTGGAAAGAACCCAAATGTCCATCAACAGGTGAATGCATAAATATACAAGTTGTGGTAGATCCACACATGGATATCTCCTCAGGAATAAAATATTTGTTTGTTACTTAACATTTTGGGAAGTGTATAGGCCTGAACATTAGATTTGTCCTCATTAATAACTTCCACTATGTATACTGTGAAAATATCTTAAATACTTTTTCTTCCTGCATGATGTCCATTTGTAAATTAACCACTAGGAACAGCAAATACCATTTTTAAACATCCACTGTGTGTCAGGTACCCAGCTGACCACCTCATTCATTATCTTTTTAATTATTTGTAATAACCTAGCAAAGTAGTTGTGTTGTTCCAATTTTACTGAGGAAAAAACTCAAGGACAGAGAGGCTAAGTAATTTATCTGTGTTTACCCAGCTAAAAAGTAGTGAAAGATAGCCTTTAATCAACACCTTCCTGTACTGTTAACAGTGAAATAGAACCATGTTTGCAAGGCAATTAAGGCCTTGTGCAATGGCCTAAGCTACTTGTCCATCTTAATTTCTTACCCCACACTTCAGGCCCATTTGTTGTTGCCTCTGTAAGATGTCTGGCAATGTCACATCTCTGTAACCTAACTCATGCTCTATCCTCACCCATGCCTATCTGTGAAATCCTACTCATCCTTCAAAGCTCAGCTGAAATGCTATGATCTCACCCACAAAGCTTTCTCTGATTCTCTCTACCTGTCTGACCTGTTACTCTGTTGAGCATATTTCAATCTATCTTTTATTATCCCGGTTACATTTCTTCAAGGACAAGGCCCAATATATTTTTCTTACGTCTCACTTCACCTAAGACAATGCAGTTAACACATACAAGATCAGAATTGTTTGCTAAAAAGTCAAAGAAAGCACGAGAAAGAGAGATGCTCACTTTTCTAGTCAAGCACCTATTATGAGTTAAGTACCATAAAATCCTTACATCCTTTAAAAGTATAACTCTACTCCTGGGGATTCACCCTAAGCAACTAAATCAACAGAAAGGAATAAAAGCAAAACATCATTAAAGGCATGATTTAATCCATTTTTATACATTACTCTATCACTCATGTAATCATGAAAGACTATATATTAACTACATTGAAATATTTAATAGAATATTAAAACAAGAGTATGTAATAGAGCAGGTACTATAACTACAATGCTCTGTAATATGTATTCATTCACTGAATACTTATTGAGTACTTTACAGAGTTTACACTCTAATGGGAGGATGACAAGACAACAGCAACAAGACAAATTAGCAAAATACATCATTCAGTTATATGGCAACAGTGTGATGGAGAAAAATAAAGCAGGCAAGGGGGCTAAGGAGTGTTTGTATGGGGCTGCTATTTGAATGAAGGCAGCCAGAGAATGTCTCCCTGAGAATGGAGATTTGAGTAAAAATCTTAAGGGAGTTAGATACTTGTATGAAAGAGAGGAAGGAAAAAGTGAAAGGCATTAGGAAAGTTCTTTATTAGATTTGTGCAAAATTTTTATTTTTTAAATATTTTATTGCTTTCAAAACTATTATAAAATTAATAAACACTCAAAAATTCTACTAATCCTGAAACACAAAATAAGCAAGTTAAGTGAATACACAAAAAGAACTTCAACCAAGCCTCTGCTATCCACACCATTAAATGTTTCCCACTTTCCACACCACTTCTCCAATCTTATTTACCACTATCCCCACCCTTCAATTAAATCAAGAGAATATAGCAGGCTTGCTCATATCTCATGCCTATTTCCAGAATTCACCTCATTTGAGTTATCTATCCTCACTATGCCAATCCCATCTTTCAAATCTCATCACCTCTAGAAAGCCTCCAATAAGTAGGTTGCAGGTATTACTAGATTTCAGTGACTCTTGCCTTTTAAGTACAGATGAAAATGACAAGGGACCTTCTTAATATACAAGTTTCAGAGAAGCAGTAATTCACTAGGTTGGTAGGAAAGATGGGAATAAACTGTGAGAACACAAAGTAGAGAGCATTTAATTCTGCTCCATATGCGGTAGGAGACCCAGAAACTTCAAAAAGGTTGGCCTGATTAAAAGTCATGGGAGGAATAAACAGGACATAATACAAAGAGTGAACAGTGAGCAAAGATGGAGAGAGCGGTCAAAGTAGAAAAGGCTTAGTGCTTTGAGGGCACCGTGAGTTAGAAGAGATTTCAAATGCAATAAAACCAGAAAAAGGAATGGGGGAGCATATTGCAAAGGGTCCTGAATGACTGGCAGCCTAAATCCTTTAGATTATGGTGGAGATGATGGGGAGTCACTGGTGACTATTAAACTGTAACTATGCATTGATTTTCATTTCTTGAAGGCCAAGGTAACTTGGCTTATAAAAGAGAGAGTGGACTGGAAAGGGAGGGGACAGCCAGACCAGTTAACAAGTGTCAGGTGTCCAAAAATGTGTATTAACTGCAAGAGACTATTACAGAGGACAAATTCTTTCAGCCTATACCTAAAACAGCGCGTGGTGGGTACTCCATTGTTTTCCAGTAGCTTTGGATCTGTTATTTTTCTCCTTCAAGATTACAAAATTTAGTAAGGTGGAAAGGCGATGTAGTAGCCTACCTCTGGAACCAGATCGTCTGGGCTGAAATACAAGTCTGACACTCTCTGGTTGTGTGATCCTCGGCAAGTTACCTAACCTCTTTGTGCCTCGGTTTTCTATCTATCAACCTAATTATCATGCACCCCTCACAGGATTGCAGAAGACTAAAACTGATATAGTCCGTCTCGTCTAAGGTAACCAACGCAGTGCCTGACACACAGAAAAATCCTCAATAACTATCACATTTTTTATAAACTGCATGTGGTATTCAGGACTATGCACTAAGCATATAATAGGGGCTTGGTACTGGGCCAAATCATGTATTAAATTTTTGTCAATCTTCTTCTATAAGCCCTGGAGAAAGTTTAAGATATTAAACTTTCCCCACATTTTTGTAGGTTAATAATATTTCATATGATAATGCAACGTCTTTAAAAGGAAATGCAATTTAAAAACTTAAGAGCACTTTCCCAACGGGTTTTGAAAAGCAGTTGACACAGAAGTCACTCTGACGGCTATCTACTGAGCGATAGTCACTGTGTAACCTTAACTTTAAATCATACTCAAAGCCAGAAATAAAAGTACAGGGAACCAGGAAACGGAGCATAGGGCAGTAAAGATGCTGGATACCAGTGCCATGCTCCGACTCCGCTAGGTTTTTAGAACACGGTCCCAAGTAAGAAGCTGTCGGAGTAGAACAGCTTACTAAAAAAAAAAAAACAAAAAAAAACAAAACCGTGGTGACATTAACAGTTAGGAAAACTGTGTGGCATGAGGAACACGCTTTCGGGGCCGGCGGTCGAGAAGCAGGTCCGGGCATCGGCCTGGGCTCCAGGCCCCAGCGTAGCTGGACGGGCGTTTCTCCCACAGAAGGAGCAGCGAGCGGCAGCCCCGGGCGGCCCCGCATTCCTTCCCAGGTCTATACTTAACCTCCCGCCCGCGCCCCGCGGACACCGCGCCCCGCCGTACACCGTATTAGGCAATGCCGAGCGCGCAGGACCCGCCCCCCGCCCCGCTCCATTCAGCGCCCTCTCAGGCGCCCCTCCCCCACGGCCCCGCGCGCACCCCCGCCACCCCGCCGGCGCCACGACGCTGAGTGCCGGGGGGCGGCCGCGTGGGGACAGCCAGAAGCAGAAAGACCTCCGGGGCGCACGTACCCCGCGGTCATGGCGATGTTATAGAAGGTGAGCCAGACGGCAGCCAACAAGCTGAGGCGCCGCCGCTTGCCGGCGGCCTCCCTCTCCTCGCCGGCGTCCGGGGCGCCGCCGTTGGTGCCGTCCTCCTCGCTGGACGCCATGGTGGCCGCGGGGCCCAGCGTGGTGGAAGAGAGAGGGGAAGGGGAAGTGGGAGGGAGCCCTGCCGAGTGCGCCGCTGAAGCGCCGCAGCCGGCTGCTGCAGCCTCAGGCGCCCCACGTGCCGCGCTCAGGGGGCTCGGCGCCGCCCGCACGCAGGCCCGCAGAGGGAGGAGCGGGCGCCCCCGGCCGCCGCCCCGCCCCCGGCCCTCGGGAGCGCGCGCGGATCAGCTCCTTCCTGTTCCGCGCGGGGCGCCGGGCGCCAGGGGTCTGAGAAACCCCCTGGCTCAATTTCTCGGCGGCGGCGTCGTTTCTGCGCCCACGGAGAAGCTGTCCTCTGCTAGCTGCGGGACCTCCTCTGAGAGAGGCGCCCAGACGTCGTGGGCGCCCGCGACGTGCGCCTGGAGGGTGCGTCCTGCCGGACCGACTCACACCTGGACTTGGCAGCCCGTCCCCGGCCGGCTTTTTGTAGGGTAGTTTCTGGATGTGGAGACAGAGGGGATCTTCCCGCCAAAGACTCATTCATAAGATCATCTGGGGAAGCAGCATCCACTTTACCCTGTTCACTTTTACTGGCCAGAGGGGCACGTCTAGGGGGCATACGATAGGATCGCCCCGCTTGTGTGCGTTCCACTGGAGCAGTGGTCTAAGGACATTGATTTCAGTGCAGCGCAGAATAGTGGCTATTATAGCTAAACTGGAGGAAAGGTTAGAACAAGATAGCAAAGGAGAAAATTTGAACAGATACTGGAAATCTACAGATACAGGGCTAACAAGAACCCCGGGTGAAGATAGTCTCCCACCGTTCTCCACTTTGTATCTCTTTTCTTTTTAAAAATCTTTCCCCAGATACCCATGTTTTCTTTTTCTTTTTTTAAAAATTTATTTTGGTATCATGAATCTACACTTACATGAGGAACATTATGTTTACTAGACTCCCCCCATCACCAAGTCCCCCCCCCACATACCCCATTACAGTCACTGTCCATCAGCTTAGCGAGATGCCATAGAATCACTACTTGTCTTCTCTGTGTTGTACAGCCCTCCCCGTGTACCACCCCCCCC